ACACACGTGTATACGCACTCACGCATCGTATGTAGGATATTCATGTACACATATATGGCTGTCGCGATGAGCGTTGCGCACAATAAAACGATAACATTATAACAACAGAAAATTAATATACTACCAACGTTATTTCTGAGTCCAAATTACAAGGAATTTTGAACTGTTGCATTGATCTCAAATAAATGTCAGAGTAACATTTCAAAAATATTTTCTGTAACGTTTTCAAAATATTTTAACAACATTCAGAAAAATCATATTACGAAATAATATTTTTCAAATATGTGTATAATATTATTAAAAAACGTTTAAAAAATACACATAAAGTCAATATTTCTAAACGTTAATTTAATGTTCCTTGCTTACTGGGTTGTTCGCGATCGAACAAAAACCAGCGTCGGCGAATCTATACCGCGAATCTAAGAAAATCGCTATTTCGAAATAATTTCGGGTTTTTCTGCCTTTCAATGTAAAGTCGGCTAAATTCTATGTTAAGAAGAGACTCGTTCGCAGAAATATCTGTGTATATTTCCCGGTACACTTGAAGGGCAGAAAAACAGCGTTTCATTGTTGCCTATATTGACTCGCTCCTTTGTCTCGGGGACTCGGTGCGCGAGGCATACCCCGGGGCAAAGCGAGCAAACGATATTTCAAAACAGCTGATCGGTGGCCGGCCTCGAGTTCAGCGTGACGTGCGTCAATACGAATTTCTCGAGACGCCGACAGCTGATTGGCTCAGCTGAATTTTTGGCTCGTTACCGAGGGTCCGGAGGATTCGAGAAAATTTGGAAGTCGTGGTGATAAAACCCCGGACCTTCGCGCGCAAGCTCGCAATCAACGAAAGTTTCTCTGAGAACGCGTATAAAAATTCAAGTCACTCGAGTATACGTTGCTTGCGATTATCGTGTGCTTATTTTCACGCGCGGGAATAGCCATCGTTCGCGAAACCTTATGTCCGTAGCTCGCGGCATAGCGACTCTGTACATAATTGTATATAATGTACATTATTGTATTATAGACATTTTTCTACTAAATATAAGACTTGAACATTCAATTCTAAATTTCTTCCGACCCGCGACTCCTTCGATCATTCGCGCACAGCATATATTTATATTTAACGCCAATAGATCAAAATCGGTCCAATACTTTTTGAGATATAAAAGCAAACATACATATACACCTATTTATTTTGAGTATCATGTAAGTGAGGTTGGGAATGAATTTGACAATGTTCGTTAAAGCGGTTCTTTTTTAAGAAAATTTGTATTTTTTGTAAAAATGTTTGTGGTTGCTCTAACTTCCGCAAATTTTTTGATATCAGTCTATTTTTAATTTTATTATATTCTTCAGTATTTGTGAAAAAAAATAATAACGACTTTCATATATATATATATATATATATATATATATATATATATATATATATATATATATTTGGTGAAGAGTATTTTTTTACATGGCCAAACAACAGATAATAAACTTTTAGAATATTTATCTTGCTCTGTATCTCTTAGTATCGTGCGCAAATACTTTATCATAATAGTAAAAAAATCGGAAAGCTATGGTTTAAAAATGCCAAACTACAAGAATGTAATAATGCAGCCCCAATGATCGCGTGAACAGTTTTCTTCTCACTGTTGCAAAGCATGCAAAGGACGACGAAATCTTAGAATATGAAAAAAAATTTAATAGAAATAAAGCCAAAGTAACATTAGTGTTTTTTGTATAACATATTTTGTTTGTTTATAAAAATATCGTAAATATTTATTATATTTAATGAGAAACTTGTTGTTTTAATTTAATAAAGAACTCGATATGCACATGCAATGTAGCATATATTAATTAATATTATTAACCATCTGCAGTTTGAGCATCAACTCGATAAGATAAATTTTATCATTATTCGAAATTTGTTATAGGTACTATTTTATTTGTACTTTAATACAAAACTTATTTAACATATAATAAATTTATTATTTATTATTTTGGTCCGTAATTACTGAAAATAATGTTGCGTTTTCAAAACCTTTTGAAATACTCACTCTTTCAAAATATTATAACGTCAATTATTTATTATAATAATAAATAAATATTATATATAATAATAAATAATTATTATAATAATAATAAATTTTACTAATTCATTTCTAGACTGAACTAATCCATTTCTAGGTACTTACATTCATGCATGAAAGATTATAAAAAGAGAATAAGAGAAATTATTATGTTTAATTTTAAACTCGATGATATACACGAATGATATGGAGATTTTATGAACTCACAAGATATTTATATGTATTTTTTTTATGTTTCTAGATATTTATCTTTATATATGACACGTATAAATAACATTTAATTTTAATTACTCTATTATAATAAAATTCTATTTCGTTAGATTTAGTAGTCTGAATAATTCATTATTGCAATATTTATTGTTGGTGAACATCAGAATAATTTGTTTTAAGTAAATGAAGCTATTAAAAGATTTAACCACTGTATTAATGAGCTAACATAACTTATTGAATAAAAAATATATGCACGTTTATCGGAAATCACAAATCAGCTTGAGAATTATTTTTAGAATTTTATTCAGATTTTAATATTGATATATATCTTTTTATTACAGATAATATTTTATACAATTAATTTTTCTTGTTTAAACAAACATTCAGTGTAAGGGTTATTTCTAAATATTATTTTAGACTTTTTTTAAATTATATGTTGTACGTAACTTTTAATATAGAATACATGAAATTTCGCGAAAAGTTAAATTATTATGCTAGTTTCAAAAGTAAAGCAATTTAAAGAGTACGTCTGTTTAATGCATCGCATTTGTATATGTATTCAACTTATAGCCGTTATCTTTGCTTTTTTTTGTTATATCTTTGCTCTTTGAATAGATTGTTGCTAAAATAGATGAGTGCGTATAGTTTGTAGATGATTTAATATATATAATTTAATTTACTAATATACTCCTAGTAAAACATCGGTGGATCGCGAGGCAGTATCGATCGATAACTGTAGACTCATAATCTCACCGACCGGTGCCGCTCTCGACGATCCCCGATAGCAATCAATACATCAATACATTACTCGCCCACGTGCTTTTCGGCAGCTTACGCGAAGCCGCAAGTGCGCGGAAATCACTTCCGGGACGTCCTCGTGTAAACACTATTCTCTTTCGGGCTCTCGGCAATACACGCCAGTACACACGTTAGACCGGCTAGACCTACAGATACCTTTGCATGGACATTCTATTGCTTGGACGTCTACCTGGCTTGCCTAATTTCACCTACGCTTGCCTGGACACATCTACTGGTTTGGTTATACGCTTTATTCTAAAAAAACGTGCATTGTTGAGATACCGAGGCGCGTAACATGGGGTGAGTCACTTCCTAGTTATCGTTCGCATTTATTCGCTAAAGGAGCCTATATCCTCCTTATTACGGTCCTTCGACCGTTATGTTTAATTTTAAACTCGGTGATAAACACGAATGATATGAAAATTTTATGAACTCACAAGATATTTTATATTTTCTTATTTTTCTAGATATTTATTTTCATATATGACACATAAATAGCATTTAATTTTAATTACTCTATATATAATTTCTTTTATTCTCTTTTTATCTTATTCTCTTTAATCTTTAATGAATGCAAACACCTAGAAATGGATTAATTCAACATTAAATTTATTATTATAATAAATAATTGACGTTATAATATTTTGAAAGGGTGAATATTTCATAAAGTTTTGATGCAACTCTGGTTTGCGTTTTCAACAATTACTCGGAACCGAGCAAAGTCCGCAATGTGATAATAGTCGTTGACATTGCCATCGCTGGATGGGCAGTGTTAACTTTGCCTACATCAAACCGGGCAATGTCCACTAATAAACTACTTTGCCCAGTCGCGTTGTGCAATGCTGACATTGCCCAGGCAATGCTGACACTGCACACTATGCGGACTTTGCCCGTAACATATATAATGATTAGATCATATATCACGTCATGTATGGTACATTGTTATACAAAGTGTCAATTTGAAAACTTTTAATCAAAATATCTCGGGAATTAGTAATGATATCAAAACACGGTTTGGAGAGAATGTAGGGGAGTAAGGGGGACATACTTTGATTTAAAAAAATTTGACCTTGGGTGGAGGCGTCAAGGTCAAATAAAGGTCAAATAAAGGTCAACTTAATTTTTTTTAATAGATACATGATTTTTTAAATATCTACGTTTGTAGCCCTTCTTATTACGAGCTCAACGCGCTATGATCCAAAGTCGCCGAAGGTCAAATGACCAAATGCAGGCTCATAGTATTATTGTCTTTGTACATGTTATGAGACACCTTTTGCAGCTGCAGCTTGCGAATCGACAATGTTAAATTTATTGCAAAATGACTTAACACTTCAAGTTGAGTTGCTTTATTCACTAATCTTTGTACGGTTCTGTTTTTTTTTGCTATTAATCCTGTTTCTTCACATTTTAATATTAATTCGAATAAGTAACATTTACTTCGCCAGTCAATAATTAACACAATTGAGAATTTAATTGACTATACTGGCAATTATTATAATCGTGGTAACGATTATAATTGTCGTGACAAATCGTCACCAAGTTTCGACCAAGGATTCTGGTTATTCTAAAGTCGATGTAATTTTAGATGCTTATAATATAAGCATCTTAATTAAATAATTAAATGTATTGCAAAAAATATTACCTCACCCAGGGTTCGAACCTGGAATCTCCCTCATTCCGTGACGAGTGTTGTACCAATTCGACCACTGAGGCACGTGGTAATATTTATCGCAATAACATGTATTAAGATGACAAACGATAATAAGATGAAAACACCGATTTTCAGTCAAAAGTGTATATTCAAACCGAATAAGTAACATTTACTTCGCCAGTCAATAATTAACACAATTGAGAATTTAATTGACTTCTTTTCTTCTCTTCATCTTAATACATGTTATTGCGATAAATATTACCACATGCCTCAGTGGTCGAATTGGTTGAGTTCGTAATGAGAAGGATTACAAACGTAGATGTTTAAAAAATTATGTATGCATTAAAAAAAATTAAGTTGACCTTTATTTGACCATGACGCCTCCACCCAAGATAAAATTTTTTAAAATAAAGGTATGTCCCCCTTGCTCCCCTACATCTCTCCAAACCGTGTTTTGATATCATTTCTAATTCCCGAGATATTTCGACTAAAGTTTTTAAATTGACATCCTGTATAACAATGTCCAATACATGGCGTGATATATGATCTAATCATTGTATATCTGTATATGATCATATAAAAGTACATTCGACTAGATCTGCTTTCATATATAAGACCAAACCAAATATGATTATACATATAAAGATAAGATCATATTGCGTCAAATTTCGGATTTTATTATATATGATAATGATAATATAAATTACATCCCATACAGCATGAAATATTCCATGAATGTTCTATAAATATTTTTTAGAATATTCATGAATTTTCTATGAATGATCTATAAATGTACAAAGAAAGTGTAATGTCCCGCTTTGAATGTCCTTAGAAATTTCTGTAAATATTCTCGAATAATCTACAAATGTTTTATAAATATTTCCGCATAATCCATAATTTTTTTATATATGCAAAATATATTTATAGAACATGTATATAGATTATTTTAGGAACATTAAAAATGGGGTATCGCATATACATTTATAAAACAATATAGGATATTTGTGAATATTTGTGAATTTATTAAAACAATCTTGGAATATATACATTTTTCTTAATATATTCGGGAATATTCACAAACATTTGTAGATTATCCGAGAATATTTATAGAACATTTGAAGCGGAATCGTTCACATTCAAATGTTCTATGCACATTCTTAGAACAATTACAGATTATTCACAAATATTTTAAAAAATGTTTATAGGATATACATATATATTCTATACTATATTTGGAAATATATTATTAAAGCACTAAAAAAGAACGTGAAATTTAATAACAAAAGTTGTACCTTTATGAAAAAGTACACTCAACTTTGATGGTTAACACCCAAATTGAGAGTTAACACTCAAATTGGGCCACAGTAGCGCAACTCTCTGTCGGCGCCTTTGATGTTAGTGTTGTCCAAAATGGAGTGCGCATGCGCGAAATAAGTATAAGCGCCCACTAACACCATCTGAACGGCCACGTTCAGCAGACACAACTGTTGAGTGTCGTCTTATCGACACGCTACGCTGATTCGTTGGGTCTGAAAGTATAAGAGCCAATCACGTGCTACTGAGCGGTTTTGCTGAACGTCTTTCTCTGAACTTCTTTCTCAATTGCTCTTTCTTTCTCCGCTCTCACTCCACTTTTACATGAAATTAATCTGAATTTAATAAAAATAATAAAGATAAATATTTATGTATTAAAAATAAAAAATATATAAAAATGAGAAAAAATAAAATTATATAAATGTGATTGCAGATTGAATAATATAAATGTATTGAGGTAAATTATTAGAAAATATAATGTTATATAACATATATTGAACAACCGAAAAGAAAAATATAATATTTTATACATTATACTTATAAGAAAACAATTATAATTATAAAATATGTAATATAAAATAGTTTTATTACATTAAATGAAATAAATGAATAATTTAATTATGCATCCAAAATGAAAATAAGATATATATTCATGCTTAATTTAAATGAAATTTTAATTTTAATACAACGATATGTTAATATTACATTTTAAAATCATTTTATGTATACCTATACAAAAAGAATATACCTGTAATAAATATAACTGCAATATATTAAAAGTACATGTTTCATTAATAAATATAATAAAGAATATAATAAATATAATAAAAAAACTACATTTTTTATGTAAAATAAAATTGTATCTTTATTACAATACATAAGAAATTACATATTATATGTATTACTAAATTGTAGTCGAGGAAATGGAGGGGAGAGCAGTGGACGGTTTGGCTCGGAGTGGAGAGGAGTAAGAAAAGGATTTTCGAAAGGAGGTGAAGCAAGGAAGGATAAAGTGGGGTGGTGGAGCCTGTGGAGGAGGATCGGAGGAGGTCGGGAAAGTGGAGAAGAGGTCGAGGATAGTGTGATTGAGGAGCAGTGAGGAGAGAAAGTAAGGGAACACCTGAGAGGTTAGGGTGTGAAGCAGGAAGATAAAGGGCCCAGGTTACACGATGAGAGAGATGAGCGAGTTGGCAGCATGGAGTTTCGAGCGACCTGTCGAGAGACAGAGGAATGTGATGGTGGCGCGGCAGATGCGGAACGAAGCGGGGAGTCTTCGCGACGGGTCGAAGGATCGAGCAATCGAACGTCTGGCTTGGCGGCACGAGGCGGAGAAAGGCCGGCGCACGTGTAGTTGAGCAGAAAATTCGGTTGCGGAAGGGAGAATAAGACGAGGAGAAAGGTAAGCGATGATTAGTGCAAGGACAGGTTGCGGAAGGATCAAAGGTAAATGTAGAGGTAAAAGAGATAAGCGTGATAGGACAGAGAGAAAAAGAGGGGTGCGGAAGAGAAAGCGGAATAAGGGAGAGGAAAGTAATAACGCACTTGTTACAGATTCCAGGATGGAGCGCGAGGGGAGAACAATAGCAGAGGCGGTCGAAAGGATTGTGGAGGAGAAAGTAAGAAAGATGATGAGAGAGAGGAAAAAGGACGAGAGGATGGAGGAGCTGGAGGAGAAAGTAAGGAGCTTGGAGAAAAAGGTAGAAAGAATGGAGCAAAGTAGAGGCAAAAGAAAGAAAGAGGAATACGAGGAGAGTGGGACTGAGAAGAAGAAATGGTGGGCGGGGGTAGGTGAAAGGAACGAGGACGAACTAAGGAAAAGGAATGTAATTTTAAGGGTCGAGAAGGAGAAATAAGGAGGCAAGTGGGAGAAAGTAAAGGAGTTATTCGCGGAAGGGCTAAAGGTAAGAGTGACGGTGAGAAAGGTGATTGTGGTGGGGCAGAGAGGAATATGAATGACCATATTGGTGAAGCTGGGAAACGAAGAGGAGAAGTGGCGGGTGTTGGAGGCGAGGAGAAAGGCAGGAAACAGCATAGGGGTAAAGATCCATGAGGACAAGTCTGTGGAAAAGAGAGATAGAGATAGAGAGAGAGAGAGAGAGAGAGAGAGAGAGAGAGGAGAAAGAGGAGAAAATGGAAGGGAGGATACGCAGGAGTACAGGGAGATCGGAGGATGAGGAGATATCAAAAGATATGGAGGAAAAACTTCTAGTGGAGTCGGATGAGGATAAGAAGGATGGAGGAAAGAGAGACTGGGCCAAATAAGGAGAAGACGAGATGGAAGGGATGGAGGATCAAGGGCGGGGCCGGTGCAGAAGCGGAAGAAGAAGAAGAGGAAGATGTCCACGGGGAGCTGGTGTTGTTTTATATGTCACTTTTGAATGTTTGAATGTTAGGTAATTGTAAGAGGTTTGGGTACGTTCCTCATAAAAAAAACGCCTTGTAAACCCTACGGGGAGAAACAATAAATAGAATACAATACTAAATTGTAGTCTTTTTTTCTTTTAATTTATTCACTGCTCCATGCTTCAGCTACTCGATCCACCTCAACACAGACCAGAGAAAAAGAACAAAAAAATACATTAAATACCCTTTATTGTACAATTCTTTCATTGATCTGTATCTCAGCTACTCGATCCACCTCGATACAACCCAAAAAAAGAAAAGGGCAATAAAAGTGCAAGCTACAATAATTATTGTACAATAATGTAAAACAGAAAATACTTAAAATATAAACAAGGAATCTATAAAATGTAATATTAATAAGCTTCATTTCTTCTCCAAGTTTTTCATTCGTATAACCTTTTGATTATTCATCCTTGAGGCATGTAAGAACTTAAAAAAAAAAAAAATTAATTAATTAAATGTATCACTAACAGTATTCATGCCTTTACAAATACACATGCACCATCGCACATACATACATACATACATACATACATACATACATACATACATACA